AAACTTTCGTCGTCCGTGGGATTTGAACCCTAGACCTGCTACTTGGAGAGAGTGACAACTTGACCACTTCACTAAGCCACCACACCTTATTTTTAACTATATTTTAAATTATAACTATTAATATCTAAATATTAAGTTGCTCTAACAAAATTAGCTTTGTTTGAATTATTAAAATCTCTATGTAATTTATATACTAGCAATTATAAATAATATAGCAAAAAAAAAAATTTGTTAGATCAAATTTTCTCACACAATTCAGCATGTATCTTTTTGTTTTTTTTATTCATAAATAGCGTTACTGTTTTTTTTGTAGAATTTTATTAAACATCTATACTAAAATATAAAAATAATCACATGTGTATTACAAAACAGGACCCCAGATAATACTTATAGGGGTGTGAGTATTAAACTAAACAAAAAAAAATAAATTATTAGCAGAGATTATATTATTAAAAAGGCTTTTTAAATGAATCGGGTATGTTAAACTGGCGTTAGTAAAAAGAAGGAATATGCTAAAAACAGACAAGAATTTTTTTAAATAAATATCTAGTATTATAAAAAAATATATAAATCACGATTTTACAAAGTTCTGAAAAGTTCCAAAGCAAAAAATGAATGAACATAAAATACAAGCAAGGTTGGGCAAAATTTCTTGAGAAAATTCCGAAATGATCTGAAAAATATTATATGTTATATAATTAAATAGGACTTAAAAGTCGGAAATTTAATAGTAAAAGGCTTAAAATAGACAAAATTTAGAGCCTTAAAGTAGACAAAATGGCTAAAAACCTACTATCAACTCAACTCCCACCTTAGTTAGTATTATTTAGGGTCCTTACAAAACATATAATGTATTATTTTTGATTGTTTTTACTAAAGATTAGATAGTTTATATGTATTATATAATACATTTTTATAAATAGATTTTCTTTGTCTAATTTTGCATTTTGTACAATGCTAAAATTAATTGATAATTGAAAAAGCAAAAAAAAGAACTATACTACTTCTGCCTAAAGGATACAAATCTTGCTTTTGCTACAAAAAGAATATATGACAAGAGCTATAAACCAAACTTGCCATATTGCCTTCTTTACTGTCTCTCATATCAAGAAAAGGTGGCTTAAGAACTGCATACTTGAAGACTTAAGAAAGGTTGGTCACCTATCTTCGTTGGGTAAACTAGCCCAAATGAAGATTGTTAACTTAATTAACTATTGATGCTGCTCTATGGTTGTGTAGATAGTCTTCTACCTGAAAAAAAAGAAAAACCTCAAAGTTTCAACTTCTACTATTCGCCTTATACTTCAGAAGCATAGTTTGATTTTGGTAATTAAATGAAAAAAACTATTTCTAAGTGCTGGTTATTAAAAAGCATGGCTCGATTTTTGCAAAAAAAATGAAGACTGGTTTGTCAAAGAATAGTCAAAGGTAATTTGGTTTGACAAATCGCAGTTCCAAATTTTTAGCTTGGATGAAAGTAGTATTATTAAAAGCATCTTGAGAAACTATTAAATTGCTTTTATGTACAACCAAAAGTGAAGCATATATGGTGGCTCTGTTATGATCTGGGGTTGCTTTACGTTCTGTGGTGTTGGAGGGTTTGTAAAATCAATATTACAATGGATAGTAAATTACTAGCTAATACTTCATAATAACTTCTAAGAACCATGAGGAATCACAGATTTAGAGCACAAGATATAATTTTTTAGCAAAATGGTGCCTTTTGCCATACTGCAATCTTAACCAAATGTTGGTTTAAAATGAATAGAATAAGAATCTTCAAGTGGCTTCCTGTGTCCCCCAATCTAAATCTGATTAAACACCTATAGGCTGAAGTCAACTATCACTTGAGAAAGCTCCCCAGCAATATTTTGAGTGAAAGAGATCTCTGAGAAAAAATTCAGGTAGTGTGGAAGCAGATCGATCTTGAGACCTGCATGAACTTGATTCATTTAATACCAAAATGAGTTCATGACATTATTAGAACTCAGGGTGGCTATACTAGATAGTAAATGTGTGAGGAAATTAAATAGAAAAAAAAAATTGTTTTTTTAATATACAAAAAAATTTTTGTATTTTATATTCATACTGCTATAAAAATGAGCAAAAATGATGCAGCACATGAATTTAAATAAAGCTCATGCATCTAAAAAATTTAATTGATTAATTTTCTAAAAAATTTTTATTGGTGTAAGAGATACTATTTACAAATAAAAAAAAAAAAGTAAAAGAATGCATGTGGAATTGTACAAGAAAATTCAATCCAATGAATTTTTTTTTTTTGTTGCATTGTTTATGATCGCCAGTGTATATCATAAAAATTCTATTACTGCCCAAATTCTTTGGTTCTATTTCAAGAAAAAATTAAAATGAGCATCTAATATTAGAATAAAGTTAAGATCTAGTGTTAGGGTTAGGTTAGGGTTAGGGTTAGAGTTAGGTTTAGTTTTAGGTTAAAATCGCGAGAGGAGCATTTTTGCTTAGTTACACAACAGGGTTCTCTTAGTAAAATTTTGAAATACAGGGGGGTGCACTCAGTGCACAGTGCACCATGTAACAGAATCCCTATTTCAAAACTTGGAATTTCAAAAAAAATATTATATATGGATCCTTTTATAATACTAGATATTTACTTCAATAAAATCATGTCCGTTTTTTATTAATGCCGGCTTAAACATACTAGCTTCAATTACAGTAAAAAGCCTTTTTAATAATATAACCTCGGACAAAAATTTGAAATTTCTTATAATTCCATTAATATTCCTTTTTTATTGCATGTGAAGCTACACAAACAAATGTATAAATAGATAGCAAATCAATCAGATCATGGATTACCAACAAGACAAGCGTCCGTCTAAAAAAGACGAGTGTCCGTCTAAGACTATTTCTGAAGCTATAGAATGTTTAAAACTCGTAAATGACTATATGGAACGTCGGGAACTAGTCGATAAACATAAAGGTTCTAATAAAATACCCAAGGGTTTCATTCTTTATAAACTTGTGAACAAACTTATTGTTAAAATTGTAACCCTGCCTGTACTACACTTGTCAGGTGATTACTACTGAAGTTTTTTGCAGAGAGTCAAGAACGTATAGACATTTTATTAATTTAGAATAACTAGGTAATTTAGTGACATGGGTAAAAAAATTTTTGTAAGCGTCGATATTACAATCATTTTGCCAAGGTGATCAACTTTAAGCCTCGGCCTCTTCTTTTTTGAAGACATATGTAAGACCGCACTTAAGTATAATAAAATTGTCAATACTAATACTTGCTGAGGATTGATTTTAAACTAAAAATTCGTTACCTTTCCACAATACTGACGATCATAATGCCAAGCCATAAAAATGCCAGCACCACATGACGCGTTCGGGCATTCCCTGTAAATACAAAAATTAAGGTTACAAATTGAACGAAAACTTTTAGACATAAGTTATGTATATTATAATAATCTTTTATCATTACCTACGAAGCCGTGTAATTTTGCCGTTTTCATCAACCTTGTAATATTTGAGCACTGCCAACTTGACTTTCTTTCTTTTATGCTTAATCTTCTTTGGAGTAGTATATGTCTTCTTCTTTCGCTTTTTTGCGCCACCTCTCAAACGAAGGACCAAGTGTAAAGTGGATTCTTTTTGGATATTATAATCAGAAAGTTGACGATTATCCTCGAGCTAATTAATTCAACCATGAGTTATCAAGATTTATAAATATTAGAATCATAAATAGTATTTGACATTCATCAATCGCACTGACCTGTTTACCAGCAAAAATCAATCGTTGTTGATCAGGAGGAATTCCTATTCCAATTTGTTAATAAAATTTATAAACTTTTTTTTTTTATTATAATTTTTAACAAATGACACAATTAATGATTCCTACCTTCTTTGTTCTGAATTTTGATTTTTACGGCATCGATAGTATCGCTTGGCTCCACCTCAAGGGTGATAGTCTTACCGGTTAACGTCTTGACAAAAATCTGCATACTTTGTTTTCGGGAAAACGTAATGTGATATTATTAAAATCAAAATGATTTTTTTTTTTTTTAATCACAACGATCATAAGCTTCGGAATTCTCATTATATTTTATCAACTCATCCTAAAATTTTTTTTTTCATAATGGATAAGATTTTAAATGAATTCAAAGTCTTTATACAACTACATACTTGAGACAAGACGATATTGAGAAAGGAGGAATAAATTTTTGAAAAAAAATGATGATAAAATACTGATCATCACATGATTTAGTCACGTGTTTGATAATTCTTATCTCAAATAGTGCTCAGCTTTTTTTTTGATGTGTAAGCGTTACGTATAAAAAATGGCCAACACCCTTAAGGATCGTAACATGAATGAACATAGATCCGTAGAAAATGATCCCGAAGTTAAAACTACCTCTATAAACCTTGAAAGTACCAAAGAAACTTTACAGCCTCCTCCAATAGTCGATGGGGCCGAAGAGCCACATTCCACTCTTTCTGTTTCTGCGGCTAATGAGCCCTCGCAACCTTCGCCAACAGTCGACGAAGTGATTGAACTATTTTCTACTAATTTTGTTTCTTCAACAAGCGGATCGATTCGACAAAGAAATTACAAAGCGTCACCACTACAATTAAAAAAAAGAGAAGAGTCACAAGAAGAGAGGCGGGTGCGAGCTCTGGAAGAACAGAAAAAGGTAATTCTGCGTAGTTTTGGGAATTAATAGTGCAATAACTAATAAGTATACTTTTTAATATTGAAGAGACGACGTGATTTAACTTCTCATGCAAGAAACCTTGCTCTCTTTAAACCGAGCGAAATATCGTCAGATGAAGAAGATTCAGAGATAGAAGATCTAGTGACTGATCACAAAGTAGATTCTATCAAGCTTAGTCGACCTATAAAACGTAAATTAGAATACGAACAAGATGAAAACATTGACCATATTTTTGTTTCATCGAAAAAAGCGAGACATAAAGGAAAATTTAGGACCTCTATTCGCAAACTCAAAAAAAATCCATACAGGTAAAGTAAAAATTTAATTTATATATTCATTTTATTAAATAATAATTTATTTCTCTTATTTCAGTAATCAAATTATGCACGCTGAACGGATGTTCGAGATCCCTTCTGATCTAGAGGAAAATTGGTGTGTTGTGTTATGTCCAATTGGTAAACGTTGTATCGTTATATCGTCCAAAGGTGTGTAAATTATTCAAAATATATATATTAGTCAATATTATATAAATATTTTTAAATCATTTTTTAATTATTTTCTAAAATTAAGGTAAAACTGTCAGTCGGCTACGAAATGGTACGCTTTATTTTAATGAAATTTTAATTATGAACATATTTTTTTTTGAGTATTCTTTTAATTTATTTTTTTGAACATTAATTGTGTTTAAGGATGCGAAATGAATAGGTTTGAATCACCTTTACCTGCAGGCTCCAGTTCTTATAAAGGCAATAAAACATCAGATTATTGTATTCTGGACTGTATTTACGATCAAACAACATTCACATACTATGTGTTAGACATGATGTGTTGGAAAGGACATCCAATTTATGACTGTGATACCGAATTTAGGTTAGACTTATACATTAAGGATTTTAGGTAAATACCATTAATCTAACTTACGTTATGTATGTTCAATAGATTTTATTGGCTAAATACAAAACTCGCTGAAATGGATGCTCCTTGCCAGAACACGTCAACCTACACATTTACCCCACTCACCGCTTATACTTGTCACTATGAACAACTTTCTTCATTGATTCCATGCCCTGATTCTTTTGGATATCGTCCTGATGGACTGTTATTCTTCAACAAAAATACACAATATGTTCTTGGAGATACTCCACTATGTGGTTGGGTGGGGGTGGAAAATATTGAAGAAATTTTCGGACCCTTTTTTCAACAAAAACAAGTGACTGTAGTGGAAGAAGACCACTCAGATAATTTGTGATTTATATAAATGGATTCAATCGTAAAGCAATATAGTTGCTACACTTGATTTTATCATATTTATATATCAGGTATGAGACATGTCCACCTACAGGGGTTCAAAATGTTGTCACATATAAATCAAACGAGTTGACTCACCCAAATTTATATGTAAAATTTGGCAAAAAAAACACTTTTCTTTAATTTACTCAATAAAGTAAATATAAAAAATAATTTTAAATATGGGACTTATATTTTTTAGCATTTAATAATTCTTTAACAAAAGTTATAAACCTAAATACCAAGTAGTTTTAAAAGGATCTTGCTCTAAAGTTGGTGTATTTTGTCTTTACAACCCCTGTAAAATTAAAGCAATAATGTGATTGGCTAAAGCAATCTTTTGAAAATTAAAGAAAGTTCTACTAACAGATATCCTACTTGACATCAAAGTTTATTCTCTCAATAATCCATCTAAAGATTAGATGAAGAACATTTAAATAAATAACGGTACGACAGTCTTTTTTTTTCTCAAAGTAGATGATAATAGAGGATCATATAGTGATTTATTTCACATACAAATCATCGAATTTCCAATTATCATTACAAGGTCGCAAAGGATATAAAATTACACTTTAGGATTATTATTATTAAAAATACTATATATTATGGTATCATAATGACAACCATAACTTGACATCCCATGTCTATCTAATGATACATTATATATACAAATTTTTTGTAACATGGTAATAGTATATTCAGAGATTCCTTTATTCTATATGGATAAAAAACTACGAAATCATTTGAGATGCTACTAACTTTAACTCGCTTTTTAGTTTCAATGTCCGTGTCCATGTTCGAATTGCAGTAGTAATGGTAGAAACATTCCCAACAATACAAAGCAAACATGCGATTTTGTTAATTTACCAACCATGTGTCCACTAAGGCCATGATTAATATCTTTTATAACGTCTTGCATTACATGCATTGCCACGTACAAAAATGAACCTCCTGAAAAGAGCAATAACATTGCAGTCCACCATTTCATTCCAACGGGATCTAATTCACCATTTCTTTGAAGGAATATATATGTTAACAATGCTGAAAATGGTGCAGCTAAAGAAAAAATGACCAAATGTTTTCGAATCTGTCGACGGTTATATCCATCACGTAATAAAACTGTAGATAATCCAAAAGCTGCCGGTGCTTTATGAAGCATTATTGCCAAAAATACAATAAACTCTAATGTTGGTTCTCTTGCAGATGCACCAAGAGCAATTCCATCAGCTGCGGCATGTATTACAAGTCCAATCGTAGCAGATACGGGTTTCTTATGTATAGTTGAAGACCCCACTATCTCATGTGAATCATCATCTCTCTCACTACTATTTGCTAATGAACGAAGCTCTGTAACACTGACAACGCTAACACGGGTATGAGAATGACCATGTGAAGTGTCTATTTGATCAATTATGAACATTATCGCAAATCCTGTTATTAAAGCAACGCCAACATAAAGATGATTTATACTTTCTTTCTCATGGTCATGATCTGAATCCGGAGGATTATTTGGATCGTCATCATTAGGAGGGTCTAGTTTGTCATCACCTTCGTCTCGTTTATTTGATATATTATCTAAATTTAATTCACTACGTTTTAATTTATTGTCCCACCAGCTACGTTTTTCGAGAGTATCGTCAGCAATATTTATATACGATAAGCTGTTGTGATCGTCCTTTTGTACACTATACAATGTTTCGATTCCTTCAGGTATGATGACGATCAGCGCTGCACCAACTAAAAGACCAACGCCAAACACTGAAATTGTTCGTAATCTATCTTCAGACAAGTGAAATGCTAATGGGATACTTCCTGAAAGAAATGACCCAATAAACATTGTTATTGACAGAAGGAATAACCCTAAAAAGGCATCCATCTCACTTATAAACGTTTATTAATGATTAGGGTTACGTTTGAAATTTACAAAACTTATACTCGAAAGCTATTAGACAAATTCTCTATCAATAAAAATGAACAAATAATGGAGTGGTTTGGTTTTATTTTGGTTAATTTTAGTCAACATCACGTGCGTTTCGAAATTATAATTGGTCGATCACAAATTGAATCGCGAAATTCATGTAACACGAATAAAATTTATATTGATTGCTTATGATTTCCTATTACGGGATTTCAAATTTATAGCTTTAATTTAAAATAATAAAATAAATAATAAATGTAAATTACAATTCTTGATGAGTCAATTTATCATCATGTTTATGGAAACCCGACAAAATGTTCTTGCGAATTGTGAAATCATCAATTTTATTGCCAGAAATTGTACCAGATTTGAGTATTTTGTCTAATCTGGCGAGTTCGGTTTCAGCATAATCACCCTTTTCTGCAATTTTATTCATGATTTTGACGTAATATTGTGCCGGTCTAAAGTTATTTCAAACCGATTTAGTTATATTATTTTTTAAAAAAAAAACAATATTGGGGACAAGTAATTTTTCAACAAACCGAGTATTTAATTTTTCAGCAATTGCTTGGGATTCTACGATAATCTTGTCAATTTCGGTTTTTCCAGAAGCACTATTGAATTTTACTACCAAAGCATCCAATTCAGGAATTTTACCAGCCTATATGACAGAAAGTTAATTAAGTATAAAATAATTTATATTAATGAGTATATTATATACACTATAATAATTACCTCTTCTGACAATGAACCACCAACAAGTCGGTGTTTTCCGCATTTTTCATTCAAGAATTTAACAAAAGATTCTTCAGTCCTTTCGCCTGAGTAATCAATTGGTGTTTTGTCTTCACCTTTTGGGAAAAATTTTATTGTAGGATAGCCAGAAACTTGGTATTTGTCACCAATATCTTTGTTTTCAGGTACTTCAATATTAGCAACAACGCACTAAATTTGAACAAGTATCATTAATTTATAACCTCGATTTGTTAATAAAAATTTTGTAGTTAAACTTTAACATACGTCTGACTCTTGGGAAAAATCTTCTGCGACCTTTTCATAAATTGGAGCTATTGATGTAAATGTAAGATATTAATTATTCTTATAATAATAGTTTCAAGGCCTACTGTATAATTAGTATCAAGCTCCTACCCAATTTTTTGCAATGTCCGCACCAAGTGGCGTAAAATTCAACCTTTAAAATAAAATAAAAATTAAATTTTATAGTTTTTTAGAAAGATAATCATATGACATAACCCAATTATTATCGTACCAATACGTTTTTTTCTGGATCCAAAGCGATCTTGTTGAATGTTTGTGAAGTAAGTACTTCTACATGAGTGACTGGTTTTTTTATTCTAGATTTTATGCCTAATTCATCAAAGGTTTGAATGTAAGTCCAATTGAACCGGTACATTAAAAAAAATTTAAAAATATACCAGTCTTTTCTTCGATAAAAGCGACTAAGTTTTCTAAGCTACGACCGCTACTGTAATCCGAGGGACTATCCAATTCATTTTGGCCGAACCATTTTAAAGTAGGGAAACCACTAACTCCGAAACGAGTTCCCAAATCACGGTATTCATCTTTTAAGAATAAAAAATAATTTAGTTTAAATAATTATCAATTATTAATTTTACAAAGTTATTACAGTACCTGCGTTAACGTTAGCTATAATCACACGATCTTTGGCATGTGAAAAAGCATCTGCAAGTTCCTCGTATATCTATAAAAATTTTAATATTACTGACGTGACTCTTTCAAAATCAAAAAAATTGTACTTACTGGTGCTAAATTTTTACAATGACCGCACCACGGCGCATAGAATTCTACAAGCGCAAATTTTCCTTTTCCGATTGTTTGATCAAAAGTATCTGGTGTCAATACGACAACGTTACTGTTGGGAGACGCTTCATGAGCGTAAATCCTAACGATAAGTAACAGGAACGCAAAAAAATTTAACAATTTCATTATTAAAGTACTGTTGAGACAAAATCAACTAAGTTTTATTCAACTAACTTTATGCATGATGCATATTTATACTATAAAGAACAATAAACATTAATATAAAGCCGCTTCTCTTGTATAACGTTAATAATCTAATTATGATCTAAAAAAAAAAGAAACTGATACGTATGTACGATACGTAATAGGTTCGAAATTGAATTTTGCATAGCTATAACAAGTAAAATAACAAAAGTTGGTAACTTTCGTAATAAGTAAAAGCATTGTGTGATGGATACGTTGTAAATTGTTATACATAAATAAGCAAAGTATTATATATATAATGCAAGAAAGTTTCGTATATAGCTAAATTCATTTATGGTAAAAAAAACCTTTTAAACTCAAATTCAAACTCCATACGTATAATACAACATCTATTATAAACTGCATTTATGGTGGTTTTGCATTTATACATGTTTTATACTTTAAATTTTTAAAAGTTTGTATATTTATGTTAGGGTTATCGGGCAAGTTTTTACTTGACCTCAATCTGAATTTGATTTTTTTTTTTACGTTCATACACTTGCTATTACTGTATTAAATACTAATAGATAGTATCCCAATCAATTCCTTATGATAAACCGTCTGTAAAAAGGTAAATGATCAAAAAAAGTAACTTGACCGGATTAAAAGTTTTAGAGGGCAAAAGAGTATTAATTTTATTATCGAAATACAGTATTTTGAATTATAATTAGGCTCTCATGGTGGCAAACGGTCAAATCGGGCAAATCAGGTGTTTGATTACTAGCCAATTACTACCCGATTGATGTCAATTTTTGTCACAGCAAAAATTGATATCAATCGGAAAGGATTCGAATGAAAACAGTACATTTTATAGGACTTAGATCCTTATCGATCAGAGGAAATGTTCCTTAATTTTGTGTGTAACATAATTTATTATAAGATCGACAATGCAATTTTATGCTTTTTTATAAGAAAAAAAGCCGAACCGCAACTTTCACCTATATGCTAACCCAACGATATCATAAGTTATTACATCTTTACGTCGTAATGTTTATGAATCGTTAGGTTCCTCTCTCAATAATAATAAGCTTATTTTTTTTAACGGATTTAAACCCAAAAACAATCTTTCAAAAAAGCAAATTGAATGTTACTTTAAAAACACCATTTAATCTTAGGAATATCGAAGACAAAAATGTGTTTGAAGTACATAAAGACAAAATAATCTTGGACATTGTTATAAGAACAGGATTGGAAGAGTAAAAGAGGAACAAAATGTCTAATTGGTATGAAAAATGATTTTTTTTAAAATTATTTTACTTACTAATTTGCGTTTTTAAAATAATGGCAGTTTCAATTCTATATAGACAATTTACTTATTTTTTTATCATTTTTATTTATTGCTATATTTTGTTATAAGTTCGAAGTCGATGTGAAATTAAGAAAATTTAATCGTTCTTATGAAATTGTGAACAATTCAGGAACTTTTATTAGGGTTGGTAGTTTATGCATGAAGTCGATGTCGAGTAGATTCATTCTATTATAATTGGGACTTAGTGTTAAAAGAAGCAACTAAGGCTCAAACGTTACCTGAAATTTACTGAGATTGGGAGCGTGGTTACCAAATAAGATTGCGGACCCATGGGACCGCAAAATCATATGATCATACTCGTGGTGATGATGAATAATATTGTTTAGGAAGTGGCAAGCTATATATACTACTGGTAATATAGTTAGACGCTGCCTAAATTTTAGAAATAAGATAGAGTAGGTTCTATTATAATTGGGCTCAAACCATATCTGAAATTTGCTGAGATTGGCAATTTCTTGAGTGTAGTTATCACGATGATGATGATGGGTATTCTTCTTGTTCAGGAATTGGTGAGCAATATGGATCTTTATATACACTATTAATATAATTGGATGTTAAGAAATACAATAGAGTAGGTTCTATTATAATTAGGGCAACTAGGATTCAAACGTTACCTGAAATCTTGGTAGTGTCTTGGGTGCAGTTACCATGGCGACGATGGATATTTTTTTTGTTCGGGAAATAGCGATTTATGTGGAACTTTATATAATACTGATGATATAGTTAGCTGTCTGAATTTTAGAAATGAACCATTATTTTATACTAAAAATAGAATCAGCTTAAGTAACAAACATTTTAGAAACTTAAATTTATATTTTTAAAGCAAAAAGATAGAAATTTAATAATTATAAAATATTTAAGAGATTGCGTGCCATATATATGGTGATTTCAAAGGAATTCTATAACCTTGTATTGGAATTAGGTCACAGGTAAGTCAATAAAAGTGATCTTCATCAATGAAAAATATTCAAATAAATTTATTCAAGGGTTTAATCGTTTTGGCCTATCTAAAATTTAAATTTGTCTATATATACATTTAATCGACAGCAATAACTAATGAAGACTAAGTAAAAAATCGAACAATGCATTGGCATTGGAATATCAAGAAAAGGCCATTTTTATTATGGGTTGATATGAAAATACGCTTGTTAATTTAACCGATGAATTAAAAAATCACTAGGAAAAGAGCCAAGTAATGTATTTGAATTAAGCTGTGTTTTGGAAAACAAATTTTTATTATAAATTTGAACATTCAAAGTTATCATCGTTATGAAAACATTTAATGTAAGAATAACGATAATTTTCTTTTGCCTGTTTTAAATTTTATTTTTGGGGTTTAAAATATTTAACTATAATAAAGTATACTAAATTTCTTTTAATATATCTATCTTATGGTGATTCAGACTTGATAATATTTATGAAATTTTACCTTATGCCGTTTAGAAGCTTTACAAGATAAACCATTGACATTTACGAATTTGGAGTCATTATGACTAAGATGTCAACTAGGAATAGACTTTCAGCGGACATGAATTTTATACTTAACTTGCGATAAAAAATTTATAATGGTATGTGACCTGAATTCGAACTAATTGTTATATCATTACTATGAAGTAATTTGTCTAATTTATTGTGAGTTTTTATTTATTATGATGGTTTCTCCGATATGTCATAACACGTTCTTTATCCCAACCAGATTCTATATCTTGAAGTTTATGGAGAACTTTATATAATAATTGATCATCTTCAGTAAGAGATTTGTGCGTAAGCAATTGAGAAAGAATCTCTTTTGCCTTACTACTCGTTGATCTGCGTATCCGTTTTGTAGGTGGGGTCTTTTCATTATTATCAATAACAGTTTTGATATCACTATTATTAACATTAGTGTCTTTTTTTCTTTTTTTATCTGTATTAATTGATAAACTTGACAACTTATATGTGTTTACATCATGTCCTCTTCGCCCTTTAACATCTCGTTCTTCAATTTTTAAAATTTCTTGCCGATAAATAGAATTTAGTCTCTTTATACCTTGTATATAGCATGTTGAAATGCGAAGAAACCCAATTTTATTTAGTTCTTTAGTATTTTTAAATAATTCATGATCAGTTGGGTTAGACAAATGAAAGGCGGCAGTTAATTTTTCGGAAAGCTTCCATACTACTTCATTCCGGGGTTGTACATTACGATCCTTATTGATTACTACTATATCTTCAACATAGTCAGATATAAGTAGCTTTACTCTATCTATTTCAGTTTGGACGGATGATATTTGTAATTCAAGCTGTTCATAATTCATTATATTTGGTTTTATATTTAGCTTAACAAACTTTACTCCATAAACCTCTATGGCTTCATCAAGAGCCAGATAATGGCCCGGGCGGGTAAGATTTACTGAACATACATAGTGAAGTAATCTTTGTAAAAAAGGATCTTTAGAAACTTGGGCTAAAAAATGTGTTGTTGATCGCGCATAATTACTTCTACCAACAGCTATAAAAAGAGGTGAAAATGCTGAAAGTGAATGAAATTGTAAGTCATAATTGCCTCGTCTTATTCCTATTTTATGACTAATTATGAGTCCCATCCAACAAAAATACAAAAGCCAAACTTTTACATTATTATTTTCTTTTTCAAGATCGCATATCATTTCATTTCGGTTTCTATTTTTTAAATATTTTTTCAATGCAATTCCTACAGCCATCCAAATTAGTTCTAGAATGCGAAACGTAGCATCATAATCAACAACTTTCTCTAACTTGTCTAAATATTTAACCCCTAGATCTGCTGCCAAGTTAAAAATGCCATATCCTGAAAAAATAGTAATTATAGTTGCACACATCGCTTTTGATGTGTGCCATTGTCCTAAAAGCAGCCGCACAGATTTGTCTTTTTTTGACTCACGATATGATATTAATCTACGGAAAATTGCTTCATCACAAGCAACATCTAAATATTCATCTTCTGCTAATTGAAAATCTTTAAAGTACATCTCACATGAATCATGGACATTTAAATCACAGTTTGGCTGTTTACCTGGTGTAAGGATTACAAAGTTTGTAGCTAGAACCTGATATCCCAAAGGTACCTCTTTTATAAGTTCTTCATAAATACTATTAATATCCCAGTTATCTGAACATTGTTCTATAAGTTCGCTAAAAATAGTTTCATGTTTATAATATTGATTTCTTATAAAGCTTGATTCACCAAATAAAGCACAATCAATATTATTATTATCATTATTATTGACAATGCTATTGCTAGTTTGTTCATTCATGGTAATATTTTTGAGAGATTTAAGTGGTATTGGCAATGTAAATTGAAAAACTACACGTAGAGTAGCATATGAAGTACCTCTGGTATCATCAAAAATGTTTCCATATTTGAATGAACTTTCTTTAAAGTCTATATTATCAATAACAGACACATTCCAAATATTTTCACCTTTTAGAAGCCTTTGAACTGGATTTGTTTTACTCATTCTATGATATTCTAATTTTCTTTTATATCGCTGTGTATGAGATACTACACCTGCAGTATATAAGATACTGTAGAGTGAAGTTATTAATTTAGATTTACATGCTAATGAACCCATTACATGTGTAAGCCAAATATCCGTGGCAGGAAAAGCAATGGAGAGAATTACTGAAACAAAAAATATTGCTATTTTATTTACTCGGGCTTTATCAAAAGCCTTTATTTCTAATCCTCATTGCCTTCTCTTTTTATTAGCTATATCATGCTTTCTTTTTTGTAAATTAGTAATTAATCCATTAAAAAAATTTAAGATACATTGCGGAAAAGCAGCCTGATATTCAGCTAAAGAGCTTGGCTTTTCAAGAGCCTCTTTATTTTGCCGAATTTCATGTCGAGATTTCCATACTGCAGTTCCTAACATTTTACCATTTTTTTTTGCTATTTCAGGTGTAAGGTCATGATCGCTTTCTATTATTTTCACAATATTAATATGCCCAAGTCATAGGGCTGTTTTTACAAACAGAAGACTTGGTGGATTTTTTATATGTGATTTGGTTTTGTCAAAGAAAGGTAATATTGAGCTAAGATATGTTAATAATTCTTTTTTTTTTTCCAGTTTTGTCTGATGCTGCTAAGTTTAAGATAAATTGTCCTAATAGTTCAAGTGCCTGTGTTGTATCATCGGTATGTTTATCATTACATGGTTCAGGTTTCTTATTAATACCTGGACGTTGAAAAAAATAACCACCTTGTAAATTAAAACATTGATTACAGATATATCGAGATTGGTATTTATTATTATTAGAATCAATATTGCTATAATTCTTAAATGCCGAGCAAGTTTTAAGACCCATGCAAGGTGCTTGTACAGTTCGTCCTATTATCCCTTAAACCGTATTCCAGGCAAATTTGCCTGAAAAATTGAAAAGTATTTACAAATTTTTAAATAAAATTAAAAATTATTAATAATATGGGGTATAATTTATATATGCAATATTTTATTTAAAACATATTATATAAGCTTTATTATGGAAATTTTTTAATT